CCCCTTTGATGAATGCTGGAGTAGCAGCCATATCTCATTCTAAAAAAAGCACAGAACTAATCCTGCATACGGGAAAAAGAAAACTTAACATTCATAACATATATCAATGCAAACTGATAACTATAACATCGCGGATACAAATGCATGCATTCTGTCAATATACATAATCTACCAAAATCAAAGGCTAAAATAACCATATAGAAAAAGTAAAAAAGTGAAAAAGCTTGCATACCTTAGAATGATGAAAAGGCAACATACATAAACTTTTGTAGATAAATTAGTATATCATTTGCAACATCATTACGAACGATTGGGGCAAATGGTGGCCAATCTACAAAACAAAAAATCACAATTCAAGTTCTACATGGTCATGGATGGAGATGGACTTTAGGTAAATAAACTAACCTTAAAACTGGGTCTGGTGACTAGAGCAAGAGGGACATCATGATTTGCATCACGACCATAGCAGAAAGCAACTAGCTAGTTCTGCTGGAACAGGTGAAAGCCTTGAAGGGTTCTACATATTCATGATCACTAAGTAGTAATAAGAATCATATCATTAAAAAAAATCTTGTAAATTTGAAAAGAAAAGAAGATTAACAAAGAAAGGATTAACTTCTTCTACTTCATCAAAAGGGTTTATAACAGCTTGATAGCTCCCTATATTATCATCATCTTCATAATTTGGGGGCTTGGGATGTTTCTTAATAGAAAACAGCAAGTGAAACATACCACAAATATGTGTAGGGGCCATAAAGGACTGATGTTGGATTCTATCCAATTTGCCCAGGTTTCTCAATTGACTAGTTGTCACATTATATTCTTGAAAAATCTCAGTAGTTCCATGACTGATAAAGAAGAAAAAAAAGAAGAAAAAAACATGAACCTCAGGAAGAAAGTTAGAACTTAGATTAACGTGTCGGACTCCAAAATGTATCTTCAAATAAAAAACTTGCACTTGAGCACAAAAACCAGAAGAATTTGGATGGAATAGGAGGCCTTAGATCAAAAACTGAAAACTTATATAACATTGATCTCAAGCTTTTTATGCTTGTGCATCCACCAGACATTGCTCCAAACACCAACACATCAACTCCTTCTAGCTCCTGCTGTGTTTGGCTATGGCAGCAAGGTTCAGAAAAACCAAAAGAATTTGGACAGAATGGAAAGCCTTAGCTTGAAAACTGTAAACTTACATAGCATTAATCTGGGCTTGTCACGCTTGTGCATCCACCAGATATAGCTCTCAAACACCAATACATCAAGTCCTTCCTAGCTCCTGCCATGTTTGGCTTTGGCAGCAAGGTTCACTAGT